TATATATATATATATATATATATATATATATATATATATATATATATATATCACGTTTCTTTTAGATTATCTTTTGTTTTGTTTATATCTCTTCTATTGCAGGGCGTTTTTGTTATCAACCTTAAAGAAACTTTCAAAGCTTTTCCAAATTGATCGTCAATTCTAAGGTTGATCGTAAAGGACCGCAATTAACGCACGTTTATTCGCAGATCCTCGTGCTCCTCGCCCTTGTGGCGACGGTAGCTCTGGCCACCGAGACGAAGAAGACCGACAGCAAAGAGAAGGCCGTCGACTCAAAGGACGCCAAGAGCAAGCGCGGCCTGGAACTGAGTCTGGGTCATGACGGTGGTTTCGGCGGCGGCGGTGGTTTTGGCGGACACGATTTTGGCGGCGGCGGCTTTGGTGGAGGACTTGGTGGAGGATTTGGCGGAGGCGGCGGCGGCGGCGGCGGCGGCGGCGATGGTGGACGAATCTCCGGCATCACGATCCATCGTGAAGTCTCGGTGCCGGTCCCGGTGCCCTACACCGTCGAGAAGAACGTACCGGTGCCCGTACACGTGCCGGTGAAGGTTCCGGTAGACAATCCAATACCAGTTCACGTTCCAAAACCTTACCCGGTTCCGGTGGAGAAAACCGTGCACGTCCCTGTCGAAAAACCGGTCCCGGTACCTTACAAAGTACCCGTTAAAGTGCCCGTTCAGATACCCGTTCCCTATAGCGTACCCTATAAAGTACCCTACCCCGTGCATAAGGAGGTGCCCTATCCGGTCAAAGTTCCGGTCGTCGTCAAGGAATCATACCCCGTTCTGGTGCACGAAGGCGGCCACGGTGGTGGTTTCGGCGGCGGTAGCTTCGGAGGCGGATTTGGTGGCGGACACGAGATCAGCTTTGGTCTGCATCATTGACGATGGTCTGACGTCAAGCGACATTAATGATGATACTCTTGTATATAATAATTGCATTTCTTTTTTTATACACACATGCTGTCTTAGCAGAATAAATATTAAATTATTAATACGGTGTTTTTTTCACTGTCTCTAAAAAACTTTCCCTATCTTTCCGTATCTATTTTACCTGCGTGAAAATATTAACTCGAAGTAGAGCTTTATTTCGTAGCGAGCAAAAATAATTTCTCTGGACGTATTATTCTTGAAAGTATACCGTTCGCTTATTTCTGCCGATTTACCTACGTTGCGCAATCATAGCATACGACAAGAAATAAATTGTAAATTCAAACGTCTGTAAAACTGGCTTGTTGAATTATCTTACGTAATATTACTTGCGAGTTATCATAAGTACTACGCGATATAAGTGGAATCTTAACTGCTTCCTGTGAAACTAGGCGGAACATATTACAATGTGGTTACCGGGTGACATGTGAAAGTATCTAAACCAGTCATCATATGACAGTTACGGTTTCAAGTTACGTTATATCAGGAGCGAATGGAGAGCTTATTATTTCTCTAGTTAAAGCCTATATGAAAGAATATTGCCTAATATATCGCTTAGAAGTGAGAGAGATAAGTTTATCTCTTTCTTGTCATTTCCTCTAGCCTTAAAATATTTGACAGTTTAAAAAAAGTTGTGTGCTTGATTTTTAATCTCTCATTAAAATAATATCAATTATTTCACGTCCAAACGATTAACGTTAAACATACGTTTATACAAATTACATATAAGCGCTATATATTAAAGTCAGGTATACGTCTCGCATACCGGTCAGGTTTTGCTTAGCCGACGTGCAAGGTAGATTGTTCCACAGTCAAGGTTGATAGAAGAAATAATATCGAATACTTGCCCTAGGCGACTCATATTCAAGCATATACGGGAGCGTATAGAGACTGCGAAGATTTCTCTCGGCGAGAGAAAACGACCTACACGAACGGAAAGAGAACGCGATTTCCGTAATCCTACTTCCTTGACGGTAACATTTCTCAACGGCCAACGGCAGAGACTATCAGCGTTACGTAAATAGATCGATCGATCTTACGTAACTATTACGAAAAGAAAGTAGGAGAGCGCCCTCATCATATTAACGAAATTCATAATAACGATATCGAATTTTGTATTGGCAATTTATAGCGGCGTTTCATTCAGCGAGCACTCTAGATATCACTTTCATTTACAATTTGCGCCATCGATGAGATAGATACGAGTTACATGCGATGTCCTGATCGGTTCTTTTTATTTCTCTTTTTTTCTGATTTCAATAATAATCTTGCAATACATGTTATGTCAGATCATTTACGAGATTCTACGCTCTGAATATTTTTTAACGCGACGTAACGGATGTAATTGCGATATCTTGTTAGGTATCTGAATCTCGGCAAGCTACGAATAACTTACGTTGTCCCGAGGCAATCGTTATAACGGTGCATGGAGATGAATCGGTACTGTAATTTGTCCATGTTAGAAACTCCCGTTCTTGAACCCTTTATACGTATTCATTATTGCATGTTGTCGTTAACGAAGGAAAGAGAAGATTCAGGGTCCATAATTTTTCATACGCAATGCGCTATGCAATCCTTAACGGAATGAGTTATAAATTTAATTTATGAATTTTATCTCCGGCCGCATGTCTTTTCATTCAAATATCATAGACTCGTAATGAGGAACGTCTGGAATTTCCTTTAGTCTGTATGATAAATTTCTAAGAGATTTGAGTGTACTAGGAACATAGATAATAAACTTAATCAAGCTGGCAGAGTCGGATTAATTTTATTAAATTGCCGTAAGATACGACGAAATATTGTAAATAAAGTCACAGCAAATTAGAATTCTCTTGAATATTTTTAGAATCGCTTTTCTTCTAGAAAAAAATATATCTTGTATGAAAGATTGGCAGATAACGAAAATTCTGTTATGTGCAACAGAATTTGAAATATATAATTTACATTATATCGCAGATTCGTCGTTGAATTAAATTAATGGAACAGATGTCTTGAGATAAATGTATGGCTTGTCGAAAGAAAAGACAGAAGAAAGATGTCTTTTCAATGCGAGAAGAACGCAAGCGCGACGGGAGGCGTCACGACGTCTCGTCAATCTAACGACATCGCCACGAACATCCGGCGCTTTAAACATCACCATTTACTCTCACGGTTCGTTAGTTATGTGTCCCCCGCATCGAAATGTGTTCGTCCGTAGAAAGCGCGGAGTTTTCCGTCAATACGTGTTGTTTGATGTAAGACATCGTAATTGACTAGAGAAACTTTAATTTTGTTGTACTCGTGTAATGAATTGACAAGATCTACGCATATACATGTCAAGGTGAGGAAAATTCGAGATTTCGTTCTGTGATTTGAATATATACGTATTAACGTATAATATCGTATAATATATAAATCAAAAATATATCAAGATTATATTATTACACTTTCTATTCGCTGTATTTCCTTCTCCTACTGAGAAATATTATTCCCGAAAAAAATTAATGTAATTATATAGAATCATATACATATATTTAAATTCAAAATATTTGGCGCAATATGATCTTATTTTTATATATGTATAATCAAATTCGGCTATTTTTATATATAATCAGATTTAATCGAATTTGATTATACAATATAATATAAGATCATATTGCGCCAAATTTCAGATTTAATTATATATATTGTCAAATCATATATCACGCCAAAAATTTCGGATTTAATTATATATGATCTTATATAATTATATAAGTCCAGTTTTTCTCGGGTTGTTACATTTCCTGTTGTATATTCGTCAGTGCAATCCAGTGAAGATTTGTTTATTTTATGGTAAAGCAAAATATATATATTAAGAAAATATATATAACATTGATTTGTTGCCCGTTATATTTTTTTAAAATAGTTTTTAAATAGAAATTTATTTTAATATAAATTACAGTTGACAAAAATCAAAAAGTAGTTCCAATAAAAGTAATTTTTTTAAACATTTCAAACAAGATATTTCTATCTCTTTTTAAATTTCTTTCAAATTTTATTACATTACAGTCTTAAGCAATTAATGAGTAATTTTCTGCTTTACGAGGATAGAACTACATCATATCGTGTATGCCGCAATCTCGCTTCGGTGAAACCGCGTAAGGAACTAGCGATCGTTAATGTACATTTCGTTAGACATGCATTGAAGTAAGTGTGCTCTATATAAATGCAATCTAATAGAGAACCCAAATAATAATAGGAAGCGAAGTGATAAATTACGTAATAATTAATGAGATTTGAAAAGATAAAAATATTGCTGCTTTATAATTTTTTTATACAAACAAAAATTATATGGAAAGAAAATATGATAAAGAAAATTATATTGTATTTTTTCGAAGCGGCTGCTTTAAATTAAAAAACATAAATGTAATCTCCACTCTTACAGTATCTATAATCAAATTATGATGTTTTAGAAAAACATATAATGTGCTGTTATGTAAAACACGTGTTACGTAATTAAGTACATAGTATAATATTCTTCGTATATGTTGTCACATTAGTAAATATTCTCAGTGTTCTCTTCGGTTTCAATGTTACTTTTACTTTGATGACAGTCTTATAATAATGTCTACGTTTTATTTCAAGCTTGTATTTATGCAGCATCGTAAATCAGGGAATGCAATCCTAAAGACTCTTTCTCTCTTTCTCTTTCTCGTCTTGTTATATCTTTATATCGCGTTTCAAAGCAGATATTCTATTATCTCTTGAGATTGTCCATTTCCTTCCGCTTACCCGTAGGATGTTTCCATTATATTGCGATAAAGATAACCTCCCAAATCAATTCTATTAGAGTTTAAATAGCGGAGAATTTATTTATTTATTATCTACTGCTTATCTCAGAATTAAACGTTTAATATATATTTAATAATTACATAGTTATTGATACGTAAACAGGACTTAATTTATTACTATTCTTTATATATCTCACATTTATACAAAATGGGACATTTGTAGAAGAATAGCAATAAACATTTTTCACATATAACGAGAGAAAGAGAATATACAATTAATGAATAATCTTATTTTATTTTATTTTTTTTTGTTATAGTTATTTATCGTTGATTTGAATTTTACAATAGAAAGTACATTTTCGCGTTTTAGATATGCTTCGCCTGTTATCGCTAGCTGTGGAGAGAGAAAGATAAGACAAAGAAAAAAAAATATGAAATAGTAAAACGAGTATTAAAACCCGATCGATTTAAAATCAGCACTTGTACACTGAGGTCGCGCTTTCTGTCTTCTTTTTATACTCTTCCTCTTTCTTCCTTCCTCCTTTCTGTCGCGACTAATGAGACGTCGACTGGGAAGCCTGCCTTAAGGCCGTTCCGCTATACCATAAACGAGCCTGTTTACATAACTATAATAGTGCAATTATTACGACTCCATGCTATCTCTTTCTCTTAGCCTCCTGAACTTTTTGCTTTTGTCCTTTTCTCTCGTGTTTTTGCTTCCTATCACGTTCTTTTTCTCTCTGTCTCTTTCTCACTGTATCTCTTTCTTTCTATTCTCACTTCATTTGCATTCTGTTGGAGAATTGAGTGTCGGGTATAAAGGGAAACGATTATTCAAGTGAGCTTACACTGATGGCTTTGTATTATCTTTTTATTTAAATTACAATATATGCATGCAGATTGTATGTAGAAAAAATGTTAATTCTGTTTTTCTTAATATTTTTTGCTATTCTCCGCATTCGATACAATATGTATAAATCGATCTTCTTTTTTCTCTTCATCAAGTATAACTCTTTCGCGAAATGTGATAAAAATAACGGAAACAAGGTGGTTTACAGGAATAATCTTTTCACGAGCATGTTAAGTAACAACGTTATTGTTATTTATGTACAATACGCGACAACGGTTTCTGCCTTTGTAGCTACGATCTGCGGCTTCCAGGCTTTACACAGACATAAATCATACATTAAGCTTGGTTCATACCAGCAGCTTCGTGTTAATGGACGCGTAATGTGCGATCGCTCGATTTCACGGGGCTCG